GGGGGGAGGGGGGGAGGGAAGTTGGCACTTTTTTTTTTTCTGCATACTCTTCTTTTTGAAACCTCCTCCTGGCATTGCTTTTTTGTTGTTGTTGTTGTTTTTAGTGGACTAGCAGAATAGTCCCCAGTTTTCAGTGGACTAGCAGAATAGCCCCCAGACTGCTGGTGTTAATCAAGTCTCAAAGTTTTCAAAAGGAAAGGACATCTTTGCAAATAATGTTTTTCTCACTCTGCTGATTCATCTAAAACTTGGTGTACTGGTCAGCTATAACAAATCTGAAGTCAGTAATCATGTACAAGGCCACTTGATGGTATGCCATTTCCACGTGTATACTGTATATGGGATGAAGACACAACATTCTGATCCTATGGCTCTTTAAACCACTTCCCTTAAAAATGGTATTCAGGAGAAACTGAAGCATTTTATTCTTTTTGTTTCTGCTTTCAACTGGTCTGCTTTAGGGTGGATTAAGTAACCTAATTAGCAATTTACATAGTATTTGTTGTGGCTGCTGCACAACTTAAGATCAGCGTAAACCTTTGTTATTATTTCCCAAAAAGGATTTATCCCAAATAACTGCACTGAAGAAACCAGCAAGACTAGTGATGCATTGTGCTCTGGAAACCATTCTTAAGGAGAAGGTAAACAACTTATCTGCATACTTGAAGCTATAAATAATCTGTAAGTAAAAAATCACTGAAATTTTCTGGGTAGTTCTTTCAAGGGCATCTTAAGCAGCCCTAATAAGCTGCTTAATGGCCAAAATAAGGGAAATACCACCAGTAGCCTCAACCAAAATGAAACACTGGCAGATAAAATGTTACAGGCATCAATCCAGCAAGAGCAGTGCAGTTTTAACAAGCCTTTCCTTCATCATTTGTAGCAGTCTGCTCCATGAAGTGATAAGGGATCAAGACAATGCATTAGAGGTATTAAAACTTAAAACGTCAAGTTAGTTATGCATGCAGTTCAAACAACCTTCATTTTCTACAAACAGGTACGTTGATAAAAATATGATTGTCTGTCAAAGGAAGAAAATACTCAAGGGCTGTAAGCATGTAACAGATATTACTGTTAGAAACATTTCTAATATCCTAAGATGTACATCTTGTTTAATCACCTCCACATGCTGAGCTGTCATTGTGCAACTGCAGGCATATTAAACCCAGGATTATAAAAGAAACACGCCCACCTCTTCCAGAGTGTCAGATTAAGGAAGAATACAAAAACGCTGAGAACAAAAATGACAGAAGGTACACCCTATGGAACATATTGTTTCCCCCAGTACGCATGGACAAATATGTCCTGAAGTCCTCCTACTCTTGGTTATCTGTTTGACAACACATGTACCAGCATAACACATTACCACGGTCAATTGCATTTAGAATGCGGACATTAAAGGTTAAGATAAGACTACCTATCTGCTGCCATCCCACCCTGGCCACTCACACAATTTGCGTACAGAGAAATGCAAGTTCTGCTTCTCGCACTACCAGTAACACAGAAACAGCATTCTGTAGAACCTTATCAAAACCAAGGACAGAAGCCTACTGCAGATATGAAAAGGGACTTATTTCTTAAGTGTCCTTCAAAAAAGACTCTGGAGCAGATTTCAAGGGACCTATGTCCCTTTCACTCTTTTACATAGATGAGATAGCCTAATGCCTTGCTTTTATACTCCTTAAGAACTCATTTACAGTACAGACTGTTCTTAGAAAATGAAAAGATAAAAAATACATTTGAATTTTAATAATGCATCAGTCCAAATTTTCACCTCCTGCATATGCAAAAATTTGCTTTGCTGACATAAACGTTGATGTCAGCATCTCAGAATCCAGAAAAAATACAACAGCATTAATTAATATTTCTTCACAGACATCTCTGTGGACAATGTGCTTCCTCCAACCTTAGTAAGACAGAGAAAACTCTTCAGTGCTGTCTTGATATTGCGTACAAGTCAGATCAAGATATGTCAGGCCCTAAGAGCCACACTAACACAGCCAAAACAAAGGTCTTTTCATTCCAGAAAGGGAAGAAGGGAGGTGGTAGTTTTAAGCGTATGTTCAGGTCTTTTCATTTACTGATGAATAAGCACCTGCAAAAGTTCAGAGCATTTTCACACCCCTGGCTCTTGCAGGAAATCCAATAGTGTCTCAGTAAGACTCATACTATCTCCTCACTTTCTTTCTATAGGCACATCTGCTATTCACCTTTAGCAGAAAGAATTACGTACTTTCTTACAGTAAAGAAATGGCAAATGCTATCAATATATGCATTCCTCCCCTAGCCACCCAAAGCAGTTTGGTGCAGAGCCATCTTAAGTCTTGCCTGTCTGAAAAAAGACATTCACTCTTGGCAAGATTTTCAGGCTGCTGCTTCTTTCTAGAGCTAGAGAAATAAGATCTTCTGACAACCACCTGGCAACGTAACTTGTTTTTGCTATTGCCTCTCAATTCTCCGCAGTTACCATTCTTGTCTCTGCTATCAATCCTCAAGATCTTAGTAAATCGTATCTTGCATCACTGTGCCAGTGGTTTTTGTTCTCTACATTTATGGCTATACAACTAAGAGAACTCAAGCAAAGCAAGACTCAGCCTTTTCTTGCTCCTTGCCTACAATTTCTGTTTACTGCAGGGGTACAGATGCTGCAATTTGATAACCATTTTGAAGTACTAATTTATTATGCTTAAATTTTTATACTGCAATACCTATGGTTACTTTTTTATTTGGAGAGGGTGAGGAGCTGCAAGGAGACTGAGAAAGAAAATGAGCTCTTTTCATTTTTGTTTGTTGCTAAGAAGCTGTCCCAGCTGAAACAAACTCCTTCACTGCTAAGGGATGAGTAACCCTGCTATTGTGGCCTTCTATTTTTGTACATATACAGTCTTTATGAATAATCCATACCTTATTTGTAGCAGTAGCACTGGATCCTGGGACCACAGGCACATTCGTCACTTGCACTGTTAAGTAGTTATTGTCTATGAGAGGCCAAGCACCTTCCACTTTGCACGTCTGGAAGTGATCCTTGAAAGTCCTCAGATGAGGATCACCAAACAAGCCACAAAATAGGTAAGTAGGGATAGTTTTCTCCCCTCCTTGATATCCATTGGCCTCTGTGTGGCCACTGTAATTGCAGGGATCATGGGTCACTTCGGGGTTGGTGGAGGATGTGGGGCCATCCTTGGAACAGTTCCTCTGGCTCATGAGGTCGCTGATCCCCAGCACTGCAGAATGGTAGACTAGGTTTCCACGGCATACTTTGGAGTTGCGATAGGTGCAGGCAGAGTATGCTCGCAGGGCCTTGCAGAACTCCAAGTCAAAGCCATCAAGAGCCGAGTTTAGATGTGAAGTTAAGGAAACAAAATCAGTGGTGCACTTTTGGATTCGACAAGGTGCTTGCAGCTGGCAGTTACCTAGGCACAAAACAGAAGGCAGAGCAGAATTAAAATCTTGCACCCTGTTCCACCCCCACAGGTACTGCACAAAGCAACCTGCAGGCAACCCACAGCACTCACTGATAAAACGCTGCAATAAAGAAAAAGGGGTTAAGTGAAGCTGAAAGATAGCAACACAGCACATATAAAAGCTGAGATGACCCAAGCATGATTTCATTTTCAGCTAGACAACAGCAAATAATGGATTAAAAACATTAACTCAGCCAAGGATGAGCCCAGCATTTCTTTACAGATGATATGAAAGCTATGATGCAATTCCGTGCTTAAGTTAACCACTCTGTCAATATGCAGGTCTCCACTTAGTCCTTCAGTCCTTAACATAAGTTACTGAACTTCCAACTAGAATCCTGCCCCTGAGAAGGATGTGGCAATGATGGCAAGACATGCAGGTTTAGGCAGAAACAGACAGCAAAGATCAGAAAGCTCACAGCTATCTGAAGCTCAAGCTGCTGACTACAGAGCCCGTGTATGGCGAGTGTAGCACCGTTTACGGTAGATTTCAATAAAGAGGGGGAAAAAAAGCCTCTCCCCACTGAAATCTTAAGTCCCTGTCAAGAGTACATAGCAGGAACACAGTTCAGCTTATGTGAACAAAACAACTGCACCTTATCTGATCACCTCGCTTCCACAAAGAACACAATTACCACACTGGAAAGCAAACCTGAGGTTTCACAGCCCGCATCCACAGCTCTTATTGTCACCACTCCAAACCCTTCCCAATCCTTACAGCAGTTAGCATCAGCCTTCTGTATGTAATTTCTACGCAGTTCATGAAGGACAGAAAAGAGACAAAGGAGGCTGCACACGGCAACAGGGGAAACAATACGCGTATTCCAGAAAGGATGAAACCAGGATACCAGTCAGCAGGAAGGCAGGTTCCCCTCCACCCAGAGAGACACAGCAGTAAGCGGGGTTTCATACAGAATACGTGTTGGACTTCGTGCCATTAATGTCCAAGCTCTCAGAGCTAACCGCTAAAATCATGCTGTGTGTTTTTGTTCTTCTATGACCTGTGAAATCCAGCTGAGCACACATCCTTTTGAAATCACAAACAGTCATAACACAGACTTAAAACAACATAAAAGTACTCTGGTATGCAGAGGTGCGCAGAGTGAGAAAACACAGCATGATTGATACCGCTCTCCCTCCCTCAAATCTCCACCTCAGCACCATTTCTCGGTGCCTGTCCTCACGGTAAAGAGGCCCGGGTTCGTCCGCCTTAAGCAGCCAGCTAGAGCGTTTAGGAACCCTTGAGACACGAGGGGTGAGAACACGGCAGCCGAACAACGCAAGGCCCTGCATCTCTAAACGCAGCCCCTTCCTGCAACTGCACGAATACGAGCGGACAGCAGCCGCCGCGCAGCGCGACGCTCCGCCAGCACCTCGCCGCCAGCCCCGCGCCCCGCACACCTGCGCGGGCAGCCGCGCCGAGCACCGCCCCGGACCCGGGGGCGCGGAGCTGCTTCGGAGAGCTGCGCCGCGGAGGCCCCGGGGCCGCCCCAGCTCTCGCACGGCTCCGCACCGCGGCGCGCGCCCGCCGCTCCCTGCCCGCGGGCCTCGCGCGCCGCCGCGGTACCTGCGCGCAGGAGCAGCCCCAGGGCGGCCAGCAGGCCGAGGGCGGCGAGCGGCGGCTCAGCCCCGGCGGCGCGGGAAGGCGCGGCTCTCCCCATGCCCGTCCATGCAGGTCCGCGGGACGGGGCGGCGGCATGGGGGGGCGGGCAGGCGGCGACCCCCTCCTTCTCCTCCTCCTCGCCGCTTCCTCTCTCAGCGGCGCAGCGGGGGGCGAAAGCCGCCGGACCGCAGCGGGACAGGCGCGGGGCGGCGCAGCATGGCAGCCAGGCGAGCTCAGCACAAAGACGCGGAGCAGCCGGCGTCGGCGGCCCGCACCCCGAGCTGCCGCAGGCCCCGCGCCGCGCCGCGCTACCGAGCTCCCCTGCGCCCGCCCCCCCGCGCCCAACCCACCTCCTCCCGTTGGCTGCCCGCCCCGTCCCGCAAGCAGCGCGACGTGCTGCGGCCACGCCCCCGCCACCGCCTCGGGCTCTTCGCGCCCCGTCCCACGTGATGCGCCCACGCTCTGCCGACGGAGGCGGCGTCCGCATTGCCACGCGCCGCCGTCAAGGGGCGCCTGCGGGCTGTCGGGGCGCGGCTGCGCGCGGTGGGGTGCGGTGCGGTGCGGTGCGGAGCGGGGCCGGGAGCCCACTTAGAGCCGGGGCCCGTCTGCGCTGTCTCCTTGGTGGGGTGCCTGCGTGCGAGCCCGTGGGCTTGTGTTTACATTGGGTGCGCAGAGCTGCTGTCTCCGCAGCACCGACAGATCAATACGCAACGTCTGTCTGGAAATGGAAACTATTGTGGAGGCGGCGTATGGCTGTTGGGCGCAGGGCAGACGGGGGAAAGCTTCCAAACTTGGCCTTGTGGTCAGGAAACCTTGGCTGGGAGGCTGGAAAGGCCACATGTCTAACCCGCACCCTTGTGGAGCCCACAATGCCTGAACCTTGCATCTCCTCGTTGGCCCTGGGAGCAGGCTCCTGCGGATGGATGTTTCACGCAGCTCAGCTCATAGCCCACAGAAACCTGGGATTTGTGTTTACCCAAGCACTTTGGAGCTTGAAAATCTTCTGCTGTAGTTGGGAATATTGCAGCTTTGATCAGAAATCCTGAAGGCAAGATTCACATGTGTTTCTTCCTTCTGTAAGCGTAAAAAAGATTGGATGCATAAAGTAATAAGTGAGAGTTAAAAGTGATCCCAGAAAGCTGGCCCTAGTGATTGTTTTCTAATGCAATTTAAGCCCTTTGCTGTTCTTCTCCTTTGTTAAGTGCCAACACAATAAACATAACTTAGCAAAACAAGGCTTTTTTTCTTTCTGAAAACATTAGTCAATATGTCCCAGAAGTCAGCTAGTCCAGTGCTGAAGAAATGCAGTAGTTAAATAAATGCTGTGAATGAGGTCAAACAAATCTTTCCTCTGTTATCAAGGCAAGGGGCCTGGTAGAGAAAATGTGTCCTTGCCTCCGACAGCTGTCAGACTCCCAAGATGTTTGACACCTTTGAGTCCAACAGAGATGGTGAAGGGTCTGAAGGGCAAGATGTGTGAGGAGCAGCTGCAGACCCTCGGTGTGCACAGCACAGAGCAGAGGAGCTGAGAGCAGCCCTCATGGCAGCTGCAGCTCCTCACAGGGAGCGGAGGGCAGCACTGAGCTCTGCTCTGTGTGACAGCGACAGGGCCCGAGGGAACGGCATGGAGCTGGAGCTGCGTCAGGGGAGGGCAGCTGGGGGTCAGGGAAAGGGGCTGCAGCACAGGGCGGTGGGCTCAGCCCCGAGCTGCTGGAGTTCAGGGAGCATCTGGACACCACTCAGACAAAGTATTGTATCTCGGGTGGTGCTGTGTGGAGCCAGGAGTTGGTCTCAGGAATCCTTATGGGTTCCTTTAACTCTGGGTAATCGATGATTCTGTGATTTCCAGGGCAGTTTTTTTCAAGCACTGTAATCAAAACAAGTATGGAGAAAAAACAAATAGCAAGGAGCAGACAGCTGTTGTGTTTCATTGCCTCCCAGAGATTGTATTGCTTACCTAGCAGTCTCACATATCTGTACTTTCACAGCAATGCTCATTATAAGCAGGCTGTATACATCTGACCATCGCTGCTGACAGTGGAAGTGATGATTCGCATCTGTATCACAGATATTTAAAGTGCTTTCCAAGGAAGGAAGAGACTTTTGAAACATTGCCACAAGATATGGCCCCTGCCCATTTTGTTTGCACAGAAGTTCTGTCATGCCAACATGTGAAAGATGGTAGCTGTGCCCGGTTTTGAGATACAGAACTGGAGGAGGAAGGTGAAAGGGAGAGAGAGGTCAAATACTAGAAGGAGAACAAATGAACAATCGGAGATTCTGTTAAGACTGTTGGAAGCTCAAACTTCTCTGATTAAACTTTATATTTTGACGTAAAAAGGCCATATGGCATCTTAAAAAATTCAAGTGAAATGAATGAACTAACTAATTCGAGTGAAATGAACTAACTAAATTCTTTTCTGACATTTCTGTGCTGTGACAAACATTGCACATACAAAAGTCTGAAGATTCTGTGCAGGAAAGCAAGAACAAAACCCCTGCCCTTTTTTTTCCCCTCCTTTTTTTTTTTGTACTTAGAAAATTATTATAATACATAAACTCTTTTTATGTATGCAAGGAATGTCTAAAAGAAAGGATCTTTGCCAGTAACACATGCTTCTGTTTCACACAGCCTCATTCCTTTCAACATACTATCCCTAAACAAGCATGACCTGTAGGGATAGCAAGAATGAAACCTTGGCATCCTGTGACACACATGGTGTCTGCAAAGGGGATAGAAAAGGGAAGCAGGGCACACTTCTAAATACTACTAGTAGATTTTAGTACAGTTCCATCTGAATACATTCCTAAGTGCAACTTGTTAAGAAAGGAAGAAATGACAGGAAATGCAAAAGAAAGGCTGACATAGTGTAGGCAGAGCTGGAAGGTATTCATCCTTCAATGCCATTTCACTAGCACTGCTGTTGTCCTTAATAACGTCACTGTTTAATCCACGTTATTCTTTGTGGAAATCCTGTTGCTCCATGGCTGTAGTGGTACCTGCTGAGGATGCAGTGATTTTCAAATTAAGGACACTGTTATTATGCAGAGCTAGGCAAAGCACATTTTACCTTGAACAGCTTAATTTCCTCCTTTGTTACACTGACATACTTGTGTTAGATTTACTCCCAGTCCTCTCTGGTAATAAATAATAGGAGAAATATTAAAGGAAGGCTTAAAAATGAGGAGTTTCTGTACATTAGATAATGGTCTCTGAAATGATCTAGCTGTGCATCTTGCAGCTTCTGCATGTGAACCCAGGCTGTTTGTTGGTCTGAGTCTTTGGAGACCAAACGTGAACCTGGAGGGCAAGAGCTGGTGGCAGGTGAACTAGCTTGACAGCTAGATCAGCCACCTTCTGTGGCAGACAAACTCAGGATGATTGATCCAGATGAGGGCAGTTAATTATTCGCAATGAAGTGACAGGCCACACCAGGGCTGCTATCTTCAGAGACATATCTTGAGTGTAGCTCTGCTTGCAGATGTGTTAGACATGTCTGTAAAGCTGATCAAAGTCCTGTTGCTGCCAGGGAATCCAGGGCTGATGCTAACATCTGAAAACAGGCTAAATGGAGACAATCGGCATATTTGAATATCAACTACAGTTGGATAAGAAAAAAAAACCTTTTTGAGTGCATCTTGTTCCATAGTTTATTTTTTGAGACTTTCATACAATGTTCTGGTGTGAGAAGAAGTGTGGTCGAAGCCAAAGAGCAGCAAAATTCTGATGTACCAAAAGATGGCCTCCAACCAATTAGTACCAACCCTTGGTGGCTGTTGGAGAGAACAGTGGCAGAAGACTGACACCTGCAGGGTAAAGCTGGACTGCTAAAGGAGAAACGCCAACCTTCAGCAAGCTTGAAAGAAATCTAGAATACCAGCCACATTTGAATGGGATCTGGATGATTTGCTCTTCAGAAGATCATATTGAGAAGAATTTTGGTTTCTTGCTGTTACATGTTAGGGTCCTGCAACATCCAATTATTGTAATGTTCTTCCATAAAAGTCTGGGCATGATGAAGATGCTTGACAGTTGCTTAATTTATATGCAGGCTTGCAGCTACTTCAGACAGGAATACGGGTTGTGACACAAGATTTATTATAACTGGGTAGAATGTGACACACAATAGTACTTTCATGGGAGAGTGTGGAGGTCTGTCATTTTGAGTATTTGTTTTGTTACTAGATGGCTGACAGTTTTTATGAAAGCAGAAGAGGTTTTGCAGTTTGTGCAGGGTTTGAATGGGGACCCACTAATATACTCAGTCATGTTTTGCAATGCTTGTTCTTGCAGTGGGGGAAGAAATAAAGGAAAACATTTTTTTGCGTTTAGTTGACAGTGGATGAGAAAAGACTGAACAACTTCCAGTGGGATGTCTAAATGTGGAGAAAGATAACCAAATGAAAACTGGCAGAAAAAAATTAGACAAGAGATTTTTAAGGAATCAGAAAGCCAAGATAATAGATATCTAAGACATCAATATAGAAATAGTGTCCAAACTTTAAATTGCTTCGTATCACTGGCATGTAGATACTTAGGTTTTTCAAGTCAAATTCCTTCCAGAATGGAAGACAATGACTGAGAAACTATTTCTGG